AGTTGCTGCTGTTGTATGTAAAGGCGTGATGTTCATTACGTGTGATGAGAGATTCTTTATCTCAATCAACTCCACAATAAAACATTCCTCAAATTTCATCAGTAACATCATTCACAGTGGCGTACACTCTCTCCTTTCCCATTTCTAACTCCTTTTCTGGTTCACAGTATTTCATCTCCATCTCCACTACCATCTCGTCCTCTTTGGCCTCCAGCATTTCACCTTCCTCTTCAGCATCATCTTCCCGTTCTTCGACTGCTTTCTTAACTTCAGCATATACCGTCTTTGTGCTCTCTTGCCTCCTTGCTGCCTCTCTGGCACCATTTCTTTTCAACAAGGAAAAATTAATGTCAGCATACTCCACTTCTTTTGGCCCGCTGTTTGAGTTAAGAGTCAGATTGTCCTGTAATTCTTGACCATCATAGACCTGTTAGGTACAAAGTAAAGAGTCAGTCACTTGCGTCTGTCTGGTATTTTTACATTTTGCTATGCATACAGAACAAAATTCTTCTTTTACTTTTTCTTTCTTTGTCAGTTTGGTGTAAGAATTGAACCTTTAGTTACTGACAGTTACTGGTTGTAATCTTTCACAATGTACTTTGCATTTTATGTTTGCTTGTTTTGTTCTTTTTGTGTCTTTTTGGTATTGTTGATTAAACAGAGCTTTAATGTCTATATATGCCTGCGGTGTGTTTAAAAGGGAATGATTCTTTAGCAGAGTTATTCCTTCTCAGACTCCAGAACAGTCCCTCCAAAGAGCAGATCGTTTTGTGCCAGTTAATTATATTTGCATTTTGTGTCGTGGTGAATTCCCAGCTTCTAATGGAATTGGTAAACAAACAAAACTATATCATCATACCTAAAACACAGCAACATTCTCCAATAGTATATATTGAAACTGACTAAAGTATAAAAAAAATTCAAACATCAAGTAAGATACATGGACTTATGCTCATACTTTTATTCTCCTACTAAAACAACTGTTTTCAGTAGATTTTGTCTTTTAGCGAGATTATCCAAAACCTCGCTCTCTCAACTGAATTAAACGCAACAAAAAATGAAGGCTGATCTTATAAATGGAACCAAATAATTGTGGCATGAATCTGACCCAATTCATATACTGTAACATTGTAGAACCTTGGATCAGGATGTGAAAAAAATATATATTAACAGGTGTTAGTGTCACACAGTGGAAATTTGTATTTGTCTTTTATAATTGATTTTTATTGTTTATTTGTGTGTGGTTTTTATTTGCATGATTTCATTCTGATTTGTCTGTTTTTAAAAGCAATGCCACGAGGGAAGCCGCAGTGGAATCGAGTGACAGACTCAAGTGCAGAGTGCGAGCTGAGCTGTGGTGTGACTAGCTTAGTGGAGGGGCAAGATGAGGATAGGAGGGATCTCCTCATCCACCTGGGACGTGGTCCCCACTGTGGAAGGGCAATTTCTCTCCTGGTTGTAAGCACATAAGGAACATTGGTCCTGGGTTGTGGGAGAGCATACATATTAACTAACTAAAAAGCAAGTATATTTAAAAAAAAAAAAAAAGCCAAATGAACATAAATACCAGTTTATCATCTTGATGTGTCCTCATCTCCAAACTTCTGGAAGTCTTTTGTTTGTTTCTGGAGAAAAGAGTAATTTTATAGTAAAAAAGTAATTACCTATCTATCCATCTATCCATTCATCCATCCATCCTAATAATAGTTATAAAAGTAAATGCTGTACCTGTAGCAATGTTTGGCCAAACAGCAAAGGACTGCTGAAAAAAGTACCCCAGTCAAAAAGGCAATAGTGACTTTCAGGTATGCCAGCCTGACACCAGATGATTGCTCTATAACCAAAGGAAACGACATAAAAAAAGCTTAATACATTTTCTTTATATTACATAGAGTAAATGGAAAAAACTAACTAATCAATGTCTGATTACAAAGATATTGATATTATTTGATATAGAAAGTGGTAGTGGTGATAATTTGAAAAAGCACATACCATGTTTTTCAGACAAGTTTTGATGGATAAGGAGGATTTCTCTTTCTTCTCCATTTCCATTGTTACTCACACATTCAACAGTGCTGTTGCCATGGCTTTTTACAGTTAGACTGATAGTGCTGTTGACTGTGTGGTTTGACACAGTAGTAATGACAGAGTACTCAGTGTGGTTCTTCAGTAGCGGCCAATTGATAGTAGGTAAAGGAAACCCTTCACTGATACACACACAGGTCAAAACCTCTGACTGAAGCACACATCCAGAGCCCTTCTGTATCTTTGAAAACCCTGTAAACACATGATCAGAATCATAAAACAAGGAAAAGTTAACCCAAAATATAAACTTCAGATTCAAGGTTAAACTACTCACAAGACACAGTGACATTGAGATAAGATGTAAGAGTCGTGTATAAATATTCTGCTGTACAGATATACTGTCCAGAATGTTATAAACATGTTATAAACAGAATTATAAACAACAAGTGTAGCAGATCCAGTGACACTGTGCAATTCACTGTAGGTTCCACTATGAATGTCTGTGTTGGAACTACGTTTTTTTCCACACAATAAGACCTGGGGGGAAACGTTCAAACGTGCAGGTCAGACTCAGAACATCTCCCTCCTTCACAGTTGTATTTCCAATGATGTGAAGGTTCCTTGTATCTAAAAACCACATTTAAGTGGTTCATTCAAAGAACACTGTCATACAAACATTATACTATGGAAATGTGTAATGATACCCTGCACAGCTGTGTAGACATGAACATGTAAGAAAAGTAGTGTGTTGATGCTAGAACAATAATAAGAAGCACAAAATAATCCGGGGGTTTCCCTGTGAATGTTGCATTCCCATTGTAACAGTCACAATTGTGTGGTGTTTCTTTAAGGCAACCTAAGTCAGGGGTTTATGATGTCATTAGTATGAGCCACTGCCCTATCTGTGAACTGTCACTACCCGATCCGTACCGGAAACC